CTCGTGTACCACGGTGTGTATTCGCGCTGGTAGTGCTCACACTGCTGTCATGGGCAAACACTGAGGATGAGTCGAGGCTTGGTAATCTCGTAGTTTTGGATGAATGGGTTCCTAGAGCACTTCCAGTGCTTGCACTGCTACTTTTTCTTCGGTAATAATTTGGAGCTTCACTCAGTCGACGTGCAGAATAAGCAACGTAGCTTGCCGCAGAAGTAACGACCTTGACAAACTTTAGGGTCTTCGCTGCATTACAAAACTCCTCGCCACGCGAACTATAAATGAAACAATTCCAAAGACTGTTGCTCAACAACACTAAAATAGCGCAGTATTGCGTAGTCTGGAAAATAGTGGTGGCCTCAGGGTTCAACTTCTCCGGAACACGAAACAAGATATTGTCGAAGAATATTGCTAGGATTGTGAGGAAGAACGTTGGGAAAATGCACGCAACGAATACTCCCACCATGAGTCCAAGAATCTTTCGCAGACGCGTTTCAATGAGTTCCTCATTAGACTTCTTGCCCCTTGTACTCTGCAATCTCTGGCGGACTCGAGCATGTCGCTGAGCTGATCTAAACGTTGCGCAGTTGATGGCGCACAAAGCAATCATTGGAATTGCAAATGCAGTTCCTACCAGAATTAAAGCCGACACCCCGACAGATGTTACCATTACAGCTAAAATAATCATGTATTGAAGCGATGGTATTAGCAAGGGGATTATTGCAATCAAGATAGCAAATATCCACACGCCGAGACATGTATACTGTGCGTAAATCTTTGCCTTAGTTTTGCTGTATTTTAATGGTCGAAATATTGCCCAAAATCGATCGAAGCTTGCTAGTAGAAGTGTGTAGATTGATAAGCTCAATGACAGAGTTGTGAAAAATCCAACGAAGTTAATATAGGGGCTTGGTATGATAGATCTCACCGATCCGCCTGCTTGGCGACGTTCAATCTCCCCATCAATTGTTTCGCCCACCAAGCGCTCATGAATAAACATCAAATGCTGAAACACGATGACGTTAGGAAGCACAATAACGCCGGATAACAAATCTCCTGTTGCGATTGACATTTTAAAAACTGCTTGACTGTTTCGTAATTTAGGCGATGAAATATACACAGAAAGAATAGTCAGGTTTGCAATTATGATGGCTGCTCCTAGAATCCCGGTTACCACCATTGCAGCGATAGTGCTCCCGCGACACCTAAATATTCAAGTAATGAATAAGAGTAATATTATAAGTAAGGTACTTTTGCAAAAAGTCGTTGAACTAAAACTACACTACACAACACAGTAAGTTTTACATAAAGAATATATATGTCATGGTCAACAAGTCTCCTTACTTTCTTCGGAGAAAGAGGCCTATTTAAAATTCCTAATGGATACAAATTCAGGACCATCAACATCTCAAGGAAACTCATTTTGACTACTTATATGCTGTCGAACTTTTGGAATTGCTCTACTTTATCACGTGAAATGATGTCAACATCTCGTCAAAATTTCTCCTAATTGTTTTAATGAAGATATTTAATTTTGTTCACATATATATATATATTAGATTTATTATAAATTATCAGAATGTTATACAGTATGCAACAAAGCTTATAATATGCGGAGTGAGATTCTGCTCTTATTGCCATACATAAAAAGCTTATATTATGTGATTGACTTGAAACGTAAAAAGGTACGATAGGATAAAAATTTCATTAGCTATGTGTAAAAATCAGATATTTTTTCGTTGAAATTAGATTTTGTCTAATGTTAAACTTACCATAAAGACATGCTGGTCCACGGAGATACGTGGCGAGTCATCGCTGTTTCAATATCATAGCCATCCCAAGGCATGGTACAGAACGGAACATATGGCTGAACAATTTCATGATAACGTCCAACTCCTCCCGATGGTCTATCAAACAAAGCTATCTGCACACAAGGTCGTAGCAAATCCTTCATATCCATTTTTGTCGGAATTATGGATGAAGTTAGATTATTCCATATTTTATCCGTTATCTCCAGAGCGTCGTTGCTTCCATAGGTAGCGTCTATTGCGTAGAAGTTGTATTTTTTTGTAACTTTGTGTAATTCTTCAGTACATTTTGCAAGTAAAGCAAATCGATTGCAGAAACGTACATAAACTATACGTGTAAAATTTGTATAGTCGTATATTGGGTTCTCGCATTCTTTTTCAAATTCTTCACACCCCCAATCCTGTAGATTGGACAAGTACTCGGTGAGATATTGTCCTCCTACAGACCATGATAGTCTGAATGAATTCGAAATATAATTACAGCAGTTCTTCTTGTAGGTCGCTTGGGATACATTTTTCCCAACGCAGGAAGCTTTAAGAAATTCCTCACTTGTTATTGTATTATCGAACGATACAGTACCATTCTTTGCAATCGCCGTAGTAGTGTCCGTTCCATTATATATGGCCCAACAGCCTGGGGAAAAATACGCGAGGATAGGCAGCCAGGTGTAAAGTATCAAATTCTTTCTCATGATTTGCCCCGGGTTATGTTGGACTGAAATGTACCAAATAGCACAAATTTTCGTTTAGTACTAGTTAACCTTCCGTACAAGTATTTGTCATATCTTATGTTTTCTTTGCAAGTATGAATTGGCAATAATTTATCACAAATGCGTATCTGATGAATAAGTCCAATATGTAGAAGACGTCAACGTCACACGAATAAACTCTCTGAAATCTTCAACTTCTTTTTTTTTGCAAAAGTACCTACGTTCTTGAACGAATCAACGATGTAGATAAAATACATAAACGTGTACAAAGTAAAATCCAATCGAAGAATATATATCTTCAAAGTGACAATTTGAACGAACTTCCTGTTGACTTAATAACGTATTCGATTTTAAACATACGGCGTCTGATACCAAAATAAACCAACGTTATAAATAAGAGTAATAGGAAATACGCAAAAGTTAAAAATATATTAAACAAAACGTAAATCATCTGGTAATCTTAGGCGACTCACTCATAGAGTGGCAGGACGATGCTAATACATTTCGACTAAACATGGTTCATAGATAAATTCACCGATGAAAAGTTTCTCAGGCCGTGTTTTAAACATGGGCGCATTTTATCGACGATCAACAAAAGCCTACATCTAATTTACATTTTTGGCTTATCCGTGTCACGTTATCGTGATTCATATCACTCCATTGGCAACACTTACATAATTAGTAACTATGTAAATCTACTTGTACGCTATAAACAAAAGATGAATTGGCGTAAAACATATCTAAGCAATGATCATAACACGTTTGTAACATTTGATATCAGCTTGCCATATGTTTTCATTCCAGTATTTTATTTGATTAAAAAAATTTCTAGTTCACAATGGAATATTTAAATGTTGTCAGCTCAACTTGGAGTATTCAATTGATAATTGTTATATCAAATGACGCAAAGGATTTTTTACTTATGTTGTTAGTTATATGTTTGCTTTATTTGTGTATTCGATTGATATTATTTGATTGGTTCAAAGGATAAATAAAATGAACCAATCGCACATGATTGATAAACAATTATCCCTACCTTCTGAAAACGATTACACAGATTCCATAAAGACTCGAAAACAAGCGATACCAAAGTAAAACGTACATCACATGATATAGAATAGGCAGAAAAACCTTTCGTAAAACGCTATGCGATTTCTCCATAATAAATAGGATTTCTTTTTGGGGTTGTTATATGATATACAAATACTTTTCTCTAGGATGGAAGAAAAATAGAATAATAGGCAATAACCTTCCGCGTAGTTCGGAATAAGGTTTTCAAGTAGTTCACGCAGCTGCTTCGGCAATTTTGCTTGTAAAATTTCGTATATCAAAGCTCTAGGAATAAATAATTCAAAACCATGAATCCCAGGTCCCTACTTTCATGAAATCAAAGCAGCTTAAATTAAAAGATAGCTCAACATACGTCAATCTGATCCAACAATGGTTCTATTTACAACGCGCTGTCAGGCTCATTTTATCGTTCCGCGTTCTAACTAACCCACAACCTGGTTAAACTTATCATGCTTAAAATACCAGTGTAGATCGTGCATGCATTTCGAGTATCAACGAAATGATATACAACAAAGCCGAAAATGAAAATACCGTTTGATACCGTTTCTCTACGTACGTCATAAAATACGCTTATTTCAAAACGAATCAGGCAGAAATAATATAAGATCGACAATAACCATCTCGGAACTAAATAAAGCATATTCATGAAATCTACCACGAACAGTAGATCTTCAGATTTATCCCACTTATCGATTGAAACAACTATTTCACCCAATTTTCGAACAATTCGAGTGATTTAGTAATTATGAAAGAGACATACTTGTTATCGCTAATATTAACGGCTGCGCAAATAGTTCGACAAATGTCATTCCCCGTGGGCTAAGGTGCGTTCTGATAATTCACTCGAGGATAGGTTAGTGTCAGAATAATAAAATATGTAAGTGGTCGTGATGGAATAATGACGTTGCTGTGAAAAGTTTTTCGTGACCGATACTAAGATATAAATGATATCGGCACATCTAAAGAAGAATTCATGGTTTGCCCAAGGTCGCGCTGTTTTATAAATAATTCAACCTAACCGAATTATTAGAGCCGAGTTAGAAAAGAAAACATGTCAAATGTCAACACTTTCATATCTAGTTGATACAAGGATATTAATTGAACCGCATTATGGGCTTGAATATTTACTAACTACTTAATAATATTTTCATTATAACAAGCTCGACTAAGCTTTCGATAAAGCAACACTCTGCACTCTGAAGTATTTTCAATTGTGACCACGTTTATAAGAAGCTAGAGCTAGACTATACATTCTTGCAGAACAACAGAAAAGTTTGTTTGAATGTTGGATTTCCGTGAAGTCTTCTATATTCACGCATTTATACATTGTTGGCAATAAATCAAACCTTTTTAATTGATTCAAATGTTAAATTTAAAACTCTGCATGATCGGTGTCACCAAAGCGCCATTTACTTTCATGCTACACACACATCAAGCACTAAGTCTATAATATTCATAGTTTTTACTTTCTATAAAAATTAATTGTGCATCGATAGATATTGAAGTGGATTATTGTATCGTTTTGCCGATGTCTTGCGTTTAGTTGTTGTTAGGGTGATTGTTGTTGTTGAAGAAATCGCGTTTCTGCGCAACTAAAAAACCAATCGATTATAAAAAATTTAGTACATAAGGTTGAAAACTGCTAGAAATGATATTCTTACGAGACCCGATATTTTACCAGATATTTTTCTATTTTATTTTAATTTAAAAAAGGTAACACTTTTCAATTCACCATTTTGGCAACGTTAAATCGGTGCTCTTAGGCCTTATCGTACCAGGCCATACGACTTTCGCGATTTTATCGGTACAGACGTGAATTTATGCGACGGAGGGACTTGATTCGTATCGTTTTTGAATGATCAGATAATGGACTTTATTCTAAGTCGCTAGGCCTACCAGAACTGCGGTTAGTAATAGGACCTTCGAACACTTCTTTAGATACAGTAACTTTTGCCAACCTATTGCATTCAGTCGAAATCTCATACTCTACTAAGACGCTGTGAATTAAATCCAAGACACAAATGTGCCGAATGAATGAGGTAAGATTATGTAATCGTTGGGCAACTAGTAACGTTTGAGTACTTCATTTGATTATTCACTATTAATTTACATACCGTCTTGACCGACCAACCACTAATTATCAATATGATAGCATCATCTCTATGCTAAAATTGCCTCTCCCGAAATATGTGCACCAAGATGGCGCACAACCTGAATCCTAACCTGGTACACCTAGTATGTTCAGGTTGTGCGCCATTTTGGTGCAAATACTTCTGGAGGTTCCAAAAATGACCTTTGTCAGATTGTAACATTGCTGAACGTTAAGTGAACCTGTGGCTAGTTTTGCTAAATTGTTGTTGCTGTCGTTGTTAGGATATTCTCATTGTCTTTGTTCGAAACAATTTGTTTATCTTTGCAACTGATAGGCCAATTTAGTTCAGTATTTCTATATCTAATGGTGACTGAAGGCTGTTATACTTCTAATATTTTCAATTGTTCCCCGAGTTCTATGGAACTGCATAACTCCCATAAAATCTTGCTGTTTTGTTTTAATATATGGAAATATATGAAATATGGGAACACTTAATTTCGTCCCGTTCATCCGCTATACGCATTACAGCAACCTCGCGGCTCATCAAGTCAACCTTTCACAAAGCATGGGCTTTCTTATTGGTATCGAATCACTGCCTTCGTATATGTGCATTATCACAATTAGGAAAGCAAAAATCCATACGCCCAGGCATGCATATTTTGCATGTCGTTTAAAATTGCTTTTGTTGTAGGTTAATGATCGCGGGAAACAGATAGAACACAACCCACAATTGCCACTGTAGGTGTATAAATGGACAATGCCAACGAAAATATGGTTAAAAACTGTCAAAGTTGATTTGTGCAGTCGGAATGTATGAACGTTCATGCCCTCCAGAATGTCATCGTTCAAACTCTAAGTCCTCTGACGCTCGCTACACCGTACTAGATGGTACTCCCGTAGTTGTGTACCAGTTTGGGTTAGGCCGAAATTTCATTCCAATTTTCCTTATTTTAGTTATATTACGAGTTGGGGGACTGCCTGTGTTAGCCAAGTGATTATCCCCCCTGCTCATAGTTTTCAGTCCCTTTACACAACTTGATGTAAAATAGGCGAACAAAATTAGTTATCTTTATATTAGTGCACAAACTTCTGGTGCACCTCGTAGAGTGTGCGCTGTGTAAAAGTGTTACTTTAACAGTATTTTTTATATTGTAAATTAAATACAGACTTTATTACCGCTGAACATGCCGAAACATTGGAACTGCTTTGCGCTGCAGCAGTACCGCCAGGTGACCGGGCATCGTGTCAAATTTAGTCAGCATCTAGTCTATGGTGTACCTTAAAACTCATACACTGACATACAGTATTACGGCGAACCTACTTCAGTACAGTACAACAAAACAACTATCCCTCAGATCATCCACCGCCCAACCATATGCGAACGCAAAACAAAATCAAACAATGTCCCCTCAAATCAGGGTAAAAAGTGGTTATGACAGCAGCCGACACGCTCCGTTCATTCGTTAAGAATGTTGGTAATTCCGCCTCCGCGCCTCATGTAAAATCAAATCTGTGGGACAAAATCGGATGAATACATTTAAACATGCCTGAGTTCAGAATTAATAATAATTACAGAAATTAGTGCATTGGCGGAAATTTCCGTTGCCGGGTTTAACACGGACATGACCAGGGGGCCTGAATATATTGAAATTTGATATTACTTCACAAACAATAACATACCTTTAGTAGATTTTCTAAAACACACGCGAGCGATGCCTTTGTTGGGGTATCACCTAAAAAAAATATTGACGGCAATGGAAAAATAGGTTGATTGCATATCATGAGTCAAAAAAAGGGGGATAACAAAAAGATACTTGAATGTCCACTCGCACAGTGTGACACAGTCCACTCGCCTAAATTCAGTTACTAGCACTGGCAAACCATTAAATTTCTGCAATGTACAACTATTTCCTCAGAATTTGAAAAATATATTCACACTAATTCATTCTATGTGAAAGTGTGTTCTATGCTTCTAACCTGATCATGGAAAACATAGTTGTGAACACAAACCAACAACCAACGGACCCTTATACCCTAGGCCCTGAGGAGTAAGTGAACCATAAACCCGTACTAGCCGTGCTTTGAAAATCATTTTGTCACAGGTATTTCGTAAGGGCCACTGTAACTGTGATAGAATATTTCTACATTTACAATTTAAATGAATTGAATTTCTGCAACATATTTTATTGTTACACAGCAATGTAGAAATAAATTCGATACTCCCGAAGTATGTGAACTAAGGTGGCAGACACCGAAACGTAGTAATTTCAATAATATTTTGTATTAACCTTTCGGTATACACTATCTGGGCAGGGTCCGCGCAGCAAAATTAGGTCATAATCAAGGCTTTGCGCCTACAACGCGTTCTAGTCTTTCAGGATGCCCGAGAAACTTAAAATAAAGCACTGCTAATTGTTTCATTGTTCCGAGTGAAATTGTTTTGATATTTGCGTGAAACTTATAATGGACATTATCAGGAAGTTAATTAAAAGTCCCCATACCATGTGAGATGTCGAAATTTTGCATAATTTAGAGTCCGGATCAGTTTCATCTCAATTTCTACCATATTTTAATTTGTCGTCTTTGTCCAAAATTTAATCCGAGTATCTTTACGTAGTTTTTATTTTTTTCCTGTATGAAGAATTGAATCGTATGATGACTTTGTGATGCATAGGAAGGATCCTCGTTAATTTTTTGCCCAGATGCCAATTGAAATTTGTACAGTTTGTGAAATATTTCAGCTATCGATGTTTGGTCTAATTCTGCAAAGCTGTTGTCATCGGCGCACTGATCTAATTTGTGTTCTCTTGGCTTTTCGCGCTCAATAAATTCCTTCAAATAATCTAGGGGTTGCTTAAATGCTTTTACATTTATAGAAAATATGTTTACTTCAGCCATGGATCATGAGCTTTAGTTTGTTTACTTGGTAAATAATTGTAATAATTAAAGTAGGCAGAAAATAGCAAAAAAGTAACAGAAAAGTTTGATAGGCTGAGATCGAATGAATTTAGAACAAACGAAGTCTACTCACAGTAATTTATTCTTCTTTTTTTCATTAGTTTTATTTTCTTTCGTTTTACCTATTGATTTCGAAGATTTCGAGGCCCGATGTCGATGATCGCTTAGAGACGTGTTTGTCTGATTAAACTTACTGTTTTGTATAAAATAAATTAATTCCGATGTCCACTGCGGCGAAAAGTTTAGTAATAATCGTGAGATACGGAGAATCTGTGGGAAAATATTCCTCCAATGTCTGCAAATTAATAAACGCTGACGGATAATATCAGCAATTATAACGTAATGAGCAAAGTAAAAATACGTTGCTCTGCCAACGACCTCTTTAACCTCACAGTAATTTCCAACGTAAGTAATTGTAGACCCTCAATGCTCTAGCTTTCTTTCGACTGTATATGAAATCAGTAAAATTATCCGATTGGATAAGAGTAAGTACCACTAAGAATATTTATTTCCCAGATTTGTTTACCATTTTGTGAACGTTTCAGACGCAAGTCAATAACATATATCAATAGATACTAATTCTATAATTTATAAATATAGCTCATAAAAGATCTCGATCCCACTGGTGGCCGCAGACCTTTTACAAAAATGTAATGTGGCCGTCTAAAGAGAAAGGATTGTGCACCCCTGGTCAAGGCTATTTTGATTCAAGTGAGCAATCTCAACTGATCTGTGTAAGCTTGGAAATCAAAGCGAAACGAATAAAATCTCAAACTGCTATAAAGTGTATATAAGAGAGGCCCGTATTCTAAAGGCGACGGGAAGGGCTCTAGGCCCCAGACCAATCCAGCTGTCTGCTGTTGAAGCAATGGCGCCGAGACCAAAATCCCTTAATTAAACAGCAAAAGATTTATGCGCGTATAGTCATTGTTTTCTTATAGAATTGGCATTTAGTATTCATCCAAACGATGAACACTAGTTAAATGTGCTTTAGTACCGTTTGCGATCTAATTAAAAAAAGCAATGACTAAGGGAGAAACATTGCAGACCTATGATTTTATAAGTATCTTTGCAACGATGTTGTTATTAATATGATGATATTATATTGATACTTTAAACAGGCGTTTACATAATGATCATATTCATCATTATAAAACAAGCAGCAACGGATACAGCAATAGAAGACAATGCTACGCAACTAACAACTAACTGCATGAAGCATTGCTAGATATTAAAACACAAATCACCACATTCTCCCCGGATTATAAAAATATAATAACTTAATAATACATACAACAATGATAAAATAATTGTGAACACAAACAAATACCCAATAGAAATTTTGAAACAAGAGAATGATTAAATTTTGAGTCCAGTACATTTCTGAAATTATAAAATGTAATGACTTTTAATGAATGCTCCCACTCATTGACATTAGCAAAGTGAAAGATTTATGCGAAAAATGAAGAGAAGGCAAATAAATTAGGATGTATTTTTAAAGGTATATCAAGTACAGCCATCCGGCGATAATTTACATTAACGTTTTATAACAATGCATGCATGACCTCATTGAACTTTGTTATTTTTTATTACTTCTTGCCCGTCCAATATTGCGTCTTACTCAATATGATAAAAAAAATTGTGAACAAAAACAAGTACACAAACAGACGTTATTAAACCATAGCAGGGGTGGCCAACCTACTTCCGACCGCGATCGACTAAAATCTTCAAAACAGCTCGCGATCGACCGATCGGTAATAAGGTCACAAACAAAAATATATGAATACTAAATACGCAGATAACATAACACACGCATACAAAAATTCCACCGCTGCCAAAAAGCTCGGCTTTGCGGGCGCATTCTCAATGAAATTGCAACAAAAATTTGCATTTTTTTTATTTTATTCAATTTGAAAATTTGAATATATACTTGTACAAACTTCTTCATCCTTAATTTTAATCAAAACGATGGCTGGACGCCGATGTAGAGCTACGTTTGCAGAAACTTCTTTGATGCCTCGTTTACATCTTATATTGGAAACGAAACAGCAGCAAAATTCTCACCAAAGTTAATTGTGTTTGTACATAATTTGGCATGTAGCTAAATGTTTTTTCATGTGAGATGTTTTATTTGAGCCGTTTTCACGCATAACAGGTGCCCAGCACTGCATTTAATTACGCAAATATATTATGGTAATATTTTACGTTCCACCCATTTCAATTTTGGGCCAGCATTAATTGATAGTTTTTCTTAATTTAAAATGTTTTCTGTGTGCCTTTTTGCCTCCTGGTACACATACTATGTTCCGGTGTCCGTCATCTTGGTTCACATGCTTCGTGAGTACCGCGAAAGGTTGGGTATTTCCGAATAATTGTAGTTCCTTACATGTCGTTAGATATCAGTGGTACAAAGCATACTTCCGGGCAAACGGCGTAAATAAGTGCCCTATATATAAAAATAGTAAACAGACGATCAAATTATTGTTTTTTGAAAAATAAGGAAGTTTTGAGTCATTTTATCGCCATTGAAAGTCTGCGATTCCGACTCTTGGAGTTACAAATCATGTGATAAAGTGTAAACCTTGCAAATTTTCAAAGGTGAAAAATTAAACATGTTTTATGTTCATGAATCGCGGTATTTCAATGCATTTCTACGACTGATATGTCAGTTTTCGGAATTATAATAAGGGTTTTGATTGAAATTATAATCAGAATACTTTATGATATATTTAGTGTTGAAATTGCGTTCCGCTGTTTGAACAGAAAGTAAATGATTGACGTCACTTCCGCGATTTTTTTAAACGATATTAATCTCCTATAATCATGTGTTTTGGAAATGCGATACTTTGAAATCATGGTGTCACTTATGAACAATACAACGGAAATTTAGTTCAAGGACAGCTGGAATTGCACAAGAAGTTTTGATAATATTGTGTGGTTCTCAGCGCCATATGCTATTGCTCTAACAGCGGTTTCCAACCTTTTCAAACTGGCGGACCGGTTGAATTGAATAAAATGTACACGCGAGTCCGCAAAAAATTGAAATGAATGGAACATGATATAATAACATATATTTGGCGGGCACTCACTATGCTTCTAGGTAAAAAGGCTCACAGAAAACTGAAATGAAGAAATGAAGAAAAACTATCAAATATTGTGCTAGCCAAAAATTGAAATGGGTGAAACATAAAATGATACCATAATATATTTGCGTAATAAAATGCAGTGCTGGGCACCTGTTATGCGTAAAAACGGCACAGAGAAAACATCTTACATGAAAAAACATTTGGTTACATGCCCTATTATGTACAAACACAATTAACTTTAGTGAGAATTTCGCTGCTGTGTCGTTGCCAATATAAAATGCAAACGAGGCATCAAAGAAGTTTTTGCAAACGTAGCTTTGCATCGGCGTCAAGCCATTTCTTTACTTCGTTTTGATTAAAACTAAGGAAGATGATAATTTGAATTGCAATGAATTGAAATGAACTTTTAATAGAGTTTATGTCGGTTACACACTGTTGAATCAGGCAATGATCACATACTCGGGAGTTGGAAATATTAGTGATTATTGTTGTGTTGGGCAACGTGTCCTTTTCCTGACCCCACTCCCATTTTTTTTAAATATTTACTAAGTCGAAAAGCTGCCGCATAATTCTCGTACTATGATTTTAAATTAAATTGGTTCCGGGACGAATCCAGCAAGCGCGGTCATACTGTTTCATATAACATTTTTGTGATAAATCTTCCATGTGCGAGAAAATTATCGCGTCAGTTTTATCCCGATTTCCACTTTCATAGCGTGGGTAAATAAAAGTTGGACTTGAAAGTCAGAATACTATAAAAATCTAACATAATTGGGATTAAATCTTATTTTGTGCCAAATCAGACCCAACACTCGGCGGGGTGTTTGAAATTTTAGAAGGGTGTTCACCTCCTATGGGGGTGATCTGAGGAAATCACTGCACTCAATCAAACATTGAACAGCTAGTTGCCAATAAATAAAAGAAGCCGTCGCATTAAATGAATAAAATGAATAATTTTTATTTCTTTTCAATAAATGAGCACTAAAAAGTGCATTGGGGGTAAACCTAGTAATCTAAGTAAATTCTAAAAAGTTAAGAGCCGCTGCTATGAAGTGATATAGTGAGACTCAGGTTAGATTCCCCCTTGTAATTCCCACACAAGGTTGATTTCCTACAAAAATATTGTTCGCGTGTGTTTGATACGTGGGTGGACTAATTACGGCCCGCTGGCTACCGGAGTGTTTCATCCGGCCCACTTGTGTCTGCTTAAATTACGGCTATGGTTTTTATAGATATAAATTTTCGTTGAAAATATCGATGAAAATTACGTCATAATAATCCCGATTGTTACATTGTGCTTATTATATAAACGTTAGCCTAGCTGTTGTAAATAAACAGTTTTTATTTATAGTTTTTCCCATGGAGTTACAAGCCTCCGATCCAGTAACGAAGTTCAATTTTGGTAGCTGGCCCACTCGGAAAAGTAATTGCCCACCCCTGCACGTCAGCCAATGAAATTTAAAATCGGGGTAACAAATGACGTGGCGATATTTCTGACATACCACGAATATTCAGGAATATAGAAACAAGTTTGTTTAAAATAAACGGAAAAGTTGCATAATCACTTCTTTTTCTAACTCTCGTGTGTGTGATCATTGCCTGATTCATTATTGAGTAATTACCATAAACACTATTTAAACTTTATTCCAACTTTTAGAATCCATGCTTTAGAATCCGTGTGGTAAATTTATCACACAATTCACTGTTAGAATTGTCTTTGTCACATGTATTTCCGGGTTATGGACATCAACTTGGCGGCGCGATGGCCAAGCTGTTGAAGCGTCCGACTTAATATATATTATACTAAGCTTGTTCAGGTCTTTCGCTCTGAATAAGGCCCTTCACATGCGTCCACTCATATTTAAGGATATTTGAGGAATTACAATTATTTGATAAATTTTTCCGGTTTATTTTCCGATTTATTACACTTAACATTTATTGAACTTCAATTTGTAAGATAAACAAATTATAGATGTTGTTGTACATGAGAATAAATGAATTAAAGATCAAGCAAGAGTGAAATATTCGTATTATTATTAACTAGATTAATAAATCATCAAACTCAATCATATAACGTGCTGCCCGTGGCGGCCACCCCTCTGGACACGCCCCCAGATGGGTGCATGAAAACTGAACCTGGCAAAGGTAATCTGCAATGCCAACACATTTTAGTCTATTCGAAGCTATGGCGCCTCGTATCAGCGTTTGCCTGTAAATTGCCTTGTTCGGAGTGAAGGGCGTAAATGATCGCCGTATGAAAATGGATAATCTGACTGAAAGTCATTCGGTTCAATGAATTGATTGAAATATACCGTCAGTTTTCCCGATTCCCACTTGTTACCTCGTAGGATCGTTTGCTAGTCAAGTCACACGATATTCTGCAAGTTCTTCCTAAAACTTGGCAGTAACGAAACTTGCATTTGTTACGTAATAATATGCTCTATCGGACTTGTCCATACCCAATTACTACATGTGTATATCGTATTTTTTCAGCTTGAAAAGTGCTATATTCTTCCTGTTTTAAAACGCACAACAGTCGCAATATGAAAACCGGTTCAAGGCTATTTTCTGGGCTATGTTATTAAATTTACTCAACATCAGATGCGATCGACTACTCGAGACGTGGCGATCGACGTGTTGGCCACCCCTGAACTATAGAATGAACGAATCCTATTTACGACATATTCATGGATTGAAAAACCATAATACTGATGGTATGCGACATCTCTCCACGGAACTCTTCGGGAAAGGACGAATCGTTTGCGCGAAATATGAAGGGAAACCAAAGCGATCCGAGGGTCGTTATCAAACTCTACTTGATCAAGTAGATTGTTAAGCTCCCGATCGTGCTTTGCAAATTTCATATTCCATGAGATGCACTGGATTCAAAACATTAGGTCCGATTGTAATTTAAATTGTTTCTATTTCAGTTCAATATTCAAACGATTTAATTTTGTGATAATTTAAACAAAATTTATTGAACATTGTATAACTGTTTAAAAATTCTCAGATTTTTTAAATCTTTATGAATGGTTATCTCCAAAATAGTGATAATATTTTAAACACAATCTCTCTACAGACATTTCAAATTTAGTAAATAATTTTAGCATGATTAAAAAATATTCTTAAAAATTTGGAGAAAAAGGAAAGATTTACTCTAGTAATGAATAGAAGACAGAGCAACTAAAATGCATTGCGTAAAGATAGATTCTATTCACATTCCTTTATTTCATTCAATGTTGTTTAAATTGAGTTTTTAATTTCAAGTCTTTTCTTGTTGCGAATAATTCTTATAATTTCTTATAAATAGCACATACATATGTAAGTACTATAGTGATCAATCATTATAATTTGAAAAAAAACACTCTTTACTGGTAAACCTAAAAAATATAATCAAGGTAATTGAGTAAAAGTTGTACTTTCATAATATTTGCTCCTAGACCGTGATGTGCTCCATCATAACTATGAACTCCTGATGTAAGACTGTAAAAATCGAGTACAGGAATATTATGAGCATCGCAATACACTTTCATTTCCTTGGAAAATTGTTTACAAACGATATTACCGTTTGCTGCATGATATGCTTTTGGTTTTAGTATCCCATTGGAGTCAGGATACATAAAAATAATATGTGGCCATCGCCTCACCACTTTGAAGTTTTTTCCAAATTTAGTATTATTTTTATGAGAATCTCTGTAGTGATCTTCCAAGTATTTAATTGCTGGACCGAGAAAATTGTTAATCGTCACTTTGGAGTTACAACCGTCATGCCCACCTTGCCCGACCAGCAAAACTGAACCAACTTTCCCAGCCAAATTTTTCACCAAACTTAAAAAGTCATTTGCAAATGCGTGATTGTAATATTCGTTTACACTGATAAATGGTGTATGTATTCCGCAGAAAGATGTTTTGTCAACAAGCATATCCAATATATTTCCAGCACCTGCTTTGCATTCTGTCCAATAAAATTGATCAACACCTACACATAATTTTGTGAGTTTTTCATCGTAGCGTTCCAGTAAAAATCCATACGTTGGATCGGACCTTAGGGTCAAAACAAAACCTCGTGCCATTTTTCTCACAAATGAATCACCAAGGAAATATATTTGAGAGAATCGATTGACAACTTCACAAGCTTGTGCTGCTGTGTAGTTTCGTCGCCGACATGAGGAATCAAATGGAAACCAATCACTTATTTCAGCGTGATATATCTTCCTGGTATCGACGCAACTAAAAATACATTGCATTGAGTAATGAAAACAAAATGAGAAAGATCTGAGAAAAACTATTCATCACTTACTTAGGGCAGTCACAAATGATACCACATTGGCCATCGTTAATATCGCTGCAGCATGGTATCTTACTTTTTGCATCGCACCAACTTCCAGCTGGAGCTGCCCACGCATTTCCTTTTGGCTTAGACTGTACGCTAGTGAATACAATTAATTTTAGTTAAAAAATTAGTGTTTACTAAATTTTTATTGCACAATTTTTAAAAGTAGCCTCTAAATATATTACCTTGATAGACTTCTATTTCATAGTGCATGAATATTCCATATAATAACATTAAAGATACACAAAGCGCAACCGGCATGAGTAAAATAATTCAAATAAAATAATTAAAAACCCCGAAAATGAGAATGTTATACCTAATCCCCGTATATATCACTGTTTCTTTTACAGATCTTCTGAATTTTTAATGAGGTCATTTTTTTTCATGCATTTGCTCTTCTGGTTAGCAAGCAAGAGGCGTTCTATTTTGTAATATTCTGACATTTATGTGGTATCAAAAAAGCCTGCGTTAGAATATTTTCGACATATAAATTAATTACAGAACACGCATGGTAAACACTAGAGGAACAAGATAAATAAAATGAAGAAAAATCAACAAATTACTTATTGAATCCACATTTGTTATCATCTCTCCAAAGACGCGTATGAATTCCTCGCTTTATACGAAATTCACTCAAATGTGAATCTAATTTATTTTCTTGTGTTAGTAATTTCTTGTATTCCTCCTCATTTTCACTGACACTATAAATCTGTTTTATCCACCGACCGTTAGTCAAGTTATACAAGATGTTTCCACAGAAGGGATGACGGTATTTCGATTTCCTTGTTGGATTTTTTGGGTATTCTCCATGCAAAGTTGTGAACGATAAACCAGAACTCCAAGAAGTGTTATACATGATGTATATCGCAAAAACAAAAATTACAATCCCAACAAGGGTCCGTTCGCGCGAGAAAAAATGATGTGACATTCCATACAATATCTCTAAATAGAAAAAATGGTTCTATTATGTTGATGAAATAGGTAAACATAATATTCTAGTTTACAATTATGCTAATCATTCTATGGAACTCATCTAAGAAGTAATGATTCCGAGGTTCCGAGATACAATCAACTTCCTCCTAATTAGCAAAAGTACGAGGACCAGTGCTGCCATTCGCGGTATATCTGTGTGTCTGAGGCTATAATGAGAAACGTCACAGAGCTGGACTATTTTTCTGTTACTTTTTCGCTTATAAGATTTAGATCAGTGGTCGGCAAACTTTATGTACCTGCGAGCCACTTATACACATGCAGTAGCATTTCTCCTGTCCAAGAACAATCACCACATAAACAACAAATTCTATTGCTGTGTTAACCTTCCTAACCCGCACTCCCTAGTCAAATTTTTAAAATATTTTTAATTAGCATTTGTCACCTAACCAAGATGGCTCGAAAGGCCATTGAAGGCTTGTTTGAATCGTATTATTGTCTTCTATACGCAAGAGGTCGCTAATGGACCGCTCCATGTACGAAATTTTGCGTACGTGAGAAAATTCATCGACGATAGTAAATAAACATTCGAACCTCTCTCCTTTATGGCCGTTGAACCTTACTTATGATAACGGCACTCTCTCGCAAGCGTTATAGCCGTTTTGGTGTTTGTTTTCCTAACAAAATGATATCACAGGCAACGGTGTAGCGCAAACAGCTGCCGAGTAACGAAGCGGTATATTTGTGAAGTCAACGCAGGTCAACGCAGTTCTTGTTTGTTTATTATTGTGCGGGTAATTATTAGTGCGTGTTTACGCGAGGAAAATGAGCGCTCGGCCGCGCAAATTACTTTCTTTCGAGTAATAACGTATTCCTTTGTATGTTTCTTAGCTTTCAAATATTTACAGATATAAAACTCGTAAAATTGGAAATATGCCAAAAAGGAGTGACGCACAACCCGGGAGCAAAAACACTCGGACAAGCCTATATCATGCTTGAAAAAGGTGCGAAAATGTCTTATTGGTTTTGTTTTGAGTTAAGTCCATAATAAGACGTGTACATAAAGAATGTTAACTCTTACTTACCAATCATATATTAGAGCCATATTTATATTTATAATAAGTCTCATCCCGGAATAACAAGCCTGCCACCACGAGACGTGTCTGTGGCGTTTTTTAAGATATATATTATCGAACGATATTTTTTTTATTGGCAAATTTGTTGCCAGCGGTATGTCGTCCAAATGACGGTCTGACAAGCCAGTACGAAATGTATTCTAAGTGTAATGCATTTAAGATAAAACTGCTCAGAGCAATATGCGCTTTCGAAGGTGTACATTACACGTTTTGCACTGTCGCGCATATGAGCAGTGGCGCAGCCTCGGGTATCGGGGTCGAATTTACAGTGATGCATTTCATGACGACGTTTAATATGAAATCCCCTAATAACAGCGATGCTGATTCACCATATCGAGCAAACTAATTTTGAACTGCGCGAGAAAGAAAAATATTTTTCCGTCCAGGCACGTTGGAATGTTCGACCCTCGTCGTGACCTTCCCTCTGTTTCTAAGACATTTTTAATTTTAAAAATAAAAATTGACTCAACTTATAAATATAACGAACTATGGGATGTCATCAAGTAAAAGACATATCGCTGACGCTATTTACTGCAAACCATACAGCAGATCTTGTTACCTCATTTCCGTGTGCGACAATAATAAATCTAGGATTAATATTTTTTTAATGTATCAAAAGTCGGATCGTTTGAGGGCCGTAAAAAATAGTTTGTGGGCCGCATTTGGCCCGCGGGCCGCAATTTGGCGACCCCTTGTTTAGATGCTCGGATACTTGGTATATTTTTTGTCTATTTTTGAACTCTGACATGTTCCAAACTCTAGCGTAATACATTTTTCTTACCGCACAACAGGATTATTTCAACTAATATAATATACGACACAAAAATGGCAACGAATTTGAAGTTCTTAGGTGCCCAAAGCGTCAAGAGCCTTGCTGACACTTACCGTGCCCAAATATATTTGTGTTAGAGTGCAGCCAGGCTTTCGAATAATTATATGTTGACACTAATTAGTATATATTCATTACATAATCTCATATTGCACCACTAATGGTTTCAATTGATTTTACAGCGTATTTTTGTCGAGATATGCTGCAGAACGCTTTTTATTGTTTTACTAACTTGTTTGCCCTATTATCTCCTAAACTACAACAACACATGCTAATCGGTAATTTGTAACAAAACATAAATCGACATACAAAGATAAACCTTGCATAAAAATAATACATCATATGGTAGCTTATAATTGGAAGCGTATTTTATTTGAACCCACCAACTCCATTTTAAATAACAGGCTGAAGAACTTCCTGTGCGTAAACTTTATGTTTTATTCAAACTATACAATATTTGTTCACACAGTTACGCCACCATTAGTTTTTATTCAAATCTGAAATTCTATATTAATATAAGTTTATTGTCTAAATATAATCAAATATTTTCTAGGTTTGTCGCTATAATTAAACTCGCTATACTGTAAAAATCACATTTTTCGCCAGTATTATGTTTTTTTTGATATATGTATGAGTATTTTAATGTTATTGTATTAATCAAATGCTGTTTTTAGCATAAGTCAATTATACCATTGCACAGGGGTTTCATGAGCCTCTAGAATGTTTCTTTGGGGTTCTGCCCCACCAAAAAGGTTGAAAACCACTTCTCTAGGATATCTGTACACCACACTGTAGCGCCCTTCCCAAAATCGAACTTAAATTTGCGCCACCAAGCTGTCACCTATGGGGATAATTGGTGAGATTGAGCCAATTGGCCAGGGTGAACTAGAGATGTTGTTTTTAAACCTTCTTTTGAAAGCATCCAATTGGCGAATACACATAAATAGTTTACTACTAAAACTAAAACATTGTTAATTTAGCATTTGAAACCAGTATTTGAATCCCGATTTTTGAAGGTTAGATCTCAATTTAAATTTATTCTAGTAAACATTTTTTGCACTCCGCAATGGCTCTGTCAATGACTTATGCTGATTGGTTCAGTGGTATTTAGATACTCTCCAAAAGTCCCTGAGCTTATGCTGGGCATTTATCCTTCAAATCTGATGCCTACCTGTGCATTCCAAACTTTCCGTAACGATTACTTCCTCAAAAAAGCTTCAAAAGTACGGAAGTAAATATTCCCGAATCGGTCTATAATTCCTAACCTTTTCAAACCACCACAAAGCCGAAAATCGGTAAAAATAGATTAAGGAATAAATAAAGTATCTATTGACCTAACCGCCATACAAACGCAATAGATTGCATTCTCGTTTTTAATTCCATTTTCTCTAACAGTTTTGCAATAGGCTGAAATGGAATGTAAATTTCATTGCGTTTTATAATGTACCGCCGTTTTTTAGGATGCCCAACAAATATGAATGACCCAAACTTACAACGAAATAAGATTTCAAATTTTCAGCAATTTAATCAGAAAATGGATTCATAATTTCATGCTGATTCCAAACTCCGGTCCGAATACAATTCGAAAAGTGAGAAAATGTGATGATACAAATTAAACTAAAAATACAATTGTGATAAAAAAAACTATATTTCGGAACTCGTTTCAGGGTTGGTGTCCTCAACGTACATACAGTTTGAGATAAAATTAAAAAGGGCAAGCTGAGACAGCCTTCCATTCCAACCGTGACGATGCCGCAGCAAACGAAAAAAAATTGTGAGGCAAATATTCTAGTCAAATCGATTCGTCAAACTAATCCACACATGCTTACGTGTCATATTTATTAGCGGCTTCACATTTTATTGCACATCATTAAAAATAAGACGTGTCATTGCTATTTTTCATTTTGATACCATTTTCATTATGGATCAGTTGGTTAACATTACCTATCCGATCATTTACACACGCGATAATTAAATTATAAATTTATTGGGGTTTACATCTAAAAATTACATAGTAAATGCACTGGGTGAATTCGTTGAGTTGAGACACCATGAACAGTCGACTTATCCGAGGAGATACAGTATACGCATTTGAGGATCATCGCCGAACGAAGATCTAAAAAGCCAGTTTCCAAACCCTTTTTAAATTTCAACAAATTTGCAGGTTCCAATTATTCGGGGAACTTCATTAGCGTCAAACAAGTTTACATTCGTCATTAGTCATTGTTGGAGGATGTAAGCAAGGAAGCAAATGCTTTTATCAAGTGTATTGTTCATTTTTTTGCAATCATACTTTGTCTGAATGTTAGATTCAATCAGAGATAGCAAATAGCTTGGTATTTAGAAAAGGTCGAACAAGTAATTAAAGCTTTGATAAAAACAGCAGTAAAAATAACTTCATTTAAATATATAAGTAAAATCCTACAAGAGCGACCAAATCAGATGTCAATCAGAACGCCCTGTGAAATTTATAAAAAGTATGATCAACAACGATAAATTCATTCTTGATCTTTTGTGTCACGTTATACTATCTTGAAGTTATAATTCTATCATCACCATGTCTTTTAGTTGACCATCTTAAAATTTTAGATGAAGTGATCTTAGTTGACCTTGGGATTCAACAGCCGAGTTTACTTAAGCAGAGGATAAAAAAAAACATTTCTGATATTTTTATTAACATAAAGAATTACAGAGGTCAGAAAACATAACCTCTTGTGCAATGCTTTTTACACCGTTTAGACTTTAGATCGTCAAACTTTTATTTGTCAACGTTTTCTAACAATTTTACATATTGATGACTATCATCTATTCTTGCAGCTCTGGAGATAAATTTGATACAAAACACTTTTTTTATTCAACTCCATAGAAACATTGATTTCTCAAAAATATCAAAGAGAAAAAAAACATGTTGTTTTACGGTTCAGTTTTTGGGCAATTCACAATGCCATGCTTTTATTCGGGAATTTTATATATTGCAATTGTTCTTTTTATACAACAACAAAAATAGTTTGCATTATATTTACAAACGCCCTGCAAAGAAAGTGAGTGTTCTCTGTATCTTTCTCTCGCACTACTTTATAGTTATCTGTGACCCAATTCTGGTGACCAAAGCTGTTAAACTAGGCCTA